GTGTGTCTAATGAAATAATCATATAGAGATGCAGACTATAGATAAGAATGTGTATCACTTCATAAAAACAAACAAAAAAGCAGAAGTGAAGAAGTGACCTGTGCCCAAAAATAAAGGAATGATGAAATAAATTATATTTCCATATGGTGAAATAAAATAACATGCATGACTGAATATGATGAAAAATTAATAAATTTTCATAGAATGCTTAATGACATGTGAACATTTTCACGATATAGTGATAAATGAAAAAGGCAGAATCCAAAACTATATGTGTATATATATTACACTTAATGCCAATTTAAAAAGTTATATATGTATTTATAATGCATGTATAAGATAAAACACTAAGAAATGTTACAAAAATATTACAGTGGTGATTACTGAATAGTGGGGTTACTAATGATTTGTGACATCCTCATAATTTCTGGGAAGCTTCTTGGCAGCAGAGTTGACAAAGCATTACCTATGCAGCTCTCTCCCTCCACCCCATCCTATCACTACAAATACATAGCAAAGTTCTGGCACACTCTTGCTATGAACATTGCCTTCCTTTGAGTCCTAAACATTCTTCCTTGCTTAACATTTTCACTATCATTCATAATTCTGAATTAATGACTTAAGTCACAGAAACACGTTAATAATTCTTCATGGTTAAAACTGTAAAATCGCAATCAAGCATATAGTTGTTCCTGGATGCCCTCACGCAGCATCACTCACTGAGTCCAAGAGTATGCCACCACATCTGGACACACATACCTTTTCAGTCTTCAGATCTTTAGTATTAAACTTAGTGTAATCTTCTTTTGCTTCTACGGGGTCATCTGATAACTTCACTTTCTGCAATGTTAGAGCAGTGAAGTGGTGTCAAACGTCACCTTGACACATCCATTTAAAAAGAATCAACATGTGCAGTCTGGACTCACAGGAGGCCAAATGGAGTAGCTGACCCTGAAAACGGCTTACTTTCTATAAGCTCTTTTACATGTTGCTGATTATCTAGGGAACTAAGTCATGAAGCTATACAAAGATGGTAATAAGCTATGTTCCTAAATGGAAATTATACCAGCCCAGGAAGTGAATAAAGTGGGGTTTCTGAGGAGCCCTTCTGAGGAGCAGTTTTGGTATGGGGGAATACAACTCGCCAAATCCCAGCCGCAGCCTCAAGGCAGTCTAGCAGTATTGATCACATGCTTTGCCTGAACCAGGGATGGTGACTGCTGACTTCCAGGACAGTCTAAGGGGGTGAACGTGGACACAAAAGGAAAGACAAGAATTTCCTTTAAGGAGGACAGGTGTCCAGCCAGAACCCCCACTTTATTCACTTCCTGGGCTGGTATAATGTCCATTTAGGAACATAGCTTATTATCATCTTTGTATAGCTTCATGTTCTTAACTTCCTTTCGATTTAATCATCTCATTTTATCCAAACAAGAAGAACCTTGCAAAGCAAGCAGCCAGCAGAAGAATGAAGCACAGAGAGCTTAAACAAATAGCTCGAGGCCACTTAGTAGGGGACTTGGGATGAGATCTCAATTTCTGTACAAGTGCTATTCCATTGGGCCCGATGCAACTAAGTCAACCTTATTTTTTAATTTTTTTTTTTTTTTTTTTACGCCTACAGCACCCAGTCTTCCTGGGTGGTCTCCCATCCAAGTACTATCCAGGCCTGACCCACTTAGCTTCGGAGATCAGACGAGATCAGGCATGTTCAGGGTGGCATGGCCGTAGACTAAAGTCAACCTTTACTCATGTTTTTACCTTTCACATGAGCATTTTACACCGATAAACATAAGAATCTTGTCAAGAATTAGACTGTAGCCTTCATGTCATATTATAGAAGGAACGGTGTCACATTTATTATGTAAAAGGCATACAGCAGGGCAGATAAGTTTTGATGTTAAACATGGAGCAGCGACTACATAGTGATCGCAACTCGGAGTTTTATAGATCTTTAAGCTCTTTATGGAGACAGCAGGTTGACAAGATCCAACATGGATTCATTCACCTTGGAAAACACAGATTTGTTCCCAGCTTGACTCTTCACACCCCAGCTTTCGCTAAACAAAGAACTAGTAGTTAGTGCTAAAAGATGCCACAGCACATGCATAACATGGGATAAAACAGCATGTCTTGAAAATTCTTCACTGTAACAAACAGAAGGGTACCTGGGAATACATCGCATAATGGGGCAAACCCTTCTCTTGGCCACATAGCAACCTCTAGCAAATAAATCTTCAAAAGAAAAAGACTAGTTTATCATGTATGAACTACCTACCAGCAAAGTGAACGTAGGTGTATAAGCAACTTTCTTAATACATGTTTCTACTAAAATTAATACAATAAAGGGTATTTAGGTGATGCATACTTTTAATAGGAAAGTATCTTCGAATAGGAGAGTAGAACTCACAGATAATAGTGATGAAGGCTATAATAGTTTCACATTGCAAGAAGTTTAAAAGTTATAAGGATGTCTGCTTTCCTCCTCCGCTGCATAAGGTTCTAATATAGATGTTCATCAACACTTGGGCATGTTCACTTTCCACTGATAAGTCAAATAAAAAAATGTTCATGGAAAGAACGTAGGATGAAAGGTGCTTCCTTATCAATATCAAATGTTTAATAAGATGACTGACTTGTTCGGGTGCTTTAAAGGCCCACTATCAAACAAGATACCAGTTATAAGTACTTATAAAAAAGAAAATGATTGTGGCAGCCTTTGCACATAACTAGTTTTCATGTTATTCCCAGCACACTGTTGAATATGTTGGGGAAAAAAACGTAATTGTTATACTTACTTAAATTTTTGTTATTTAAAAGACTGAATCACTGTGGATTTGGGGAAATGTTTCAGAAGAAATAGAAAAGTGGGTTGGAAAGACAATAACAAAGGACATGACAAATGGGTACAGTTCTGGAAAGAAAGAGCAAATGGCCGAGTACCACGGCGAAGACGAATTGGTCTTATCATTTTTGCAAATGATTTGCAAGAAGAAACCAGGAATATCTCCAAATCCACTGATTACATTCAGCTCTGCTAGCTGACAGTGATAAATTCAAAAGATGGAAGGGGGTGAGGGTCGGAAGCTGAGTTTCAACACAGGCAAACATATCATAGTAAGAAAATAATGCAAAACATATTAAGGATGACAGGCTCTGTGCTATCGATTACAACACAGATACAAAGATACCTAATAGCCAGTGGAACATATTTCCTGAAAACAAGCAACTATAATTATTGTAAAAATCAATCAAATCCTGGACACAGACAGGAAAGCTGGCAGCAGACATTACCCTATGCTTGTTTAAACTATGGTATATCATCCAGTGCAGTTTGCAATGTGTACACTGGAGCTCCAGGAAGACACAACAGAGCAGGAAACATTGAAAAGCATCTAAAATAATCCAGGAGGTAAGGCTGAGATTTAGGAGAAAAAAGATTCCAAGATCTAAATCAGGGCTTGACAAACTACTGTCCATGGGCCAAATCCAGCTGGCCGCTTGCTTTTATAAAAGAAGTTTTACTGGAACACAGCCACACTGGTCCGTTTATGAATTGTTTGCGGCGTCTCTGCACTACAACAGCAGAGTTGGGTAGCTGCGACAGAGACCATCTGCTTCTCGAAGCCTGAGTATTTACTATCTGGCCTTTACAGAACAAGTTTGCTGACCCCTAATCTAAATCATAAATGACGAAATCACAAAGAACTTAAATTTTGGAAATTAAAATAAGAAAATAGAAAACTGGGTCCGAGAAGAATAAACTATGAAACCTATTACCCCAGATGGAATGAAAGGCGAAAACCTTCAAGAATTGGTTTAGATCCATTCGTTAATGATCTCTAAGTTACCAAGGAAGACAGATATTTGAGAGAAAAAAATATGCTTAGTTTTTGGAGGGAGAGAAATAAGAAAATAACAAATACGCCTATTTCCTTAGTTATAGTAGCACGTCCCCTCATGCTACTGCCAGAGATAGTGGACTACTGGATTGGAAGAAGTGTGGGTCTGACCCTAGACCTTACAGCAACTGACTTCTGCCCAGCGCTATTCCTCCAGAGAGTAAAAGATGAACCTCCTTTGACAATCAGTTGAAAATGGCCCACAACTCATACTGATGTGCTGTAAATTTTCCATCCTTTTCTAAAAGTCAAAGTAATAAATGTTTTTGGAGCTACCACGACCTCCAAACAGGACATGATACAAAAAAGTCCTGAGCATGCTGGCCACCTGAAAGGTAGGGGGAAAAGAAAGTTGTTTAAACATCCACGATGTGTCCACTTCACGTTTTCAAGGCATCTGTTATTTTGCTGGTGGAAGAATGACCTCACTGACAGGCTGGTGCATGTGTTTATTTCCCTGTCTGAGGTCAGGCCTGGACAGTGTGCCATCAGGTGTGGTTTAGGACTGACTTCTCTACCCTCCCAATCTGGGAGACAAACCCAAGCTGCAGTCCACAGTGCAGAGGTGCTGTGGGTGGCAGTTTGAGTACATCTGGAAGAGGCAAAGCCTTTCCACTCACAGATAATGATCGCGCACACACTGCACTGATCACTTCAAGTATAGAAAAAAAGCATGGTCATCCTTGCTCAAAGGATTCTTTGCATTATAAAAATTATTCTCTGTGCATCTTTGTACTAGTGACAATTGGGTTTGGCAAAAGGAATTTTAGTTATATATAAAGTATTCCTGGTGATTAATAAAGTTAATTATAGGATTTGGCTAACTCAGGAATATGAATTATTATTACATATCTATAATATTTCTATATAGGTATCTGGCTAAAACCAACTATTATTGACAGTATTTTATTATTCAGGTAAAATCTACAAAAATAAAAAATACTGATGGCAAGCCCAGTGCAATCTCTATTCCATATTAACATCACTCCATGAAAGGTGGATTGAGTGTGTTTTAAAATAGACCAGAACAAAATGAACTTATGTGGTAAAAGTATAACATTTTTCCTGGTTCCCCAAGATACCTTAGTCATAGCTTACCTTTGATGGAGGATTTGGCAATGAAGCTGAAGTTTCTGGAAGCCTAAGAAATAAAAAATAAGAATCACAATCATGGTTTTTCATAGACAAGCCAACAGAAAGACTGGGCCAACTTGAGATTTACTAAGTCCTACTCTCTTCTGATAGCTTCACCTCCAAATATTTCACTGTGCAGTCACCTCAGGGTAAAGAATGCAACTTCTATAAATGAATAAATCTTTGTTTCACTACTCAATTTCTTGTACTAAAATTGTTTGAACTAAAAAAAAATAAAATTAGAACTCTTTTGTTGAAATGGAATTGCTTTTCCTCAGCCTTTACAAATTTGTGCTTTGGCATTGTAGTATTTTTTCTTCATAAATGATGAATCTAGCATATATTTAAGTTAAAATTATTTTAACTGTTGACAAAAAGACACAAAATTTATCTTTCTTCCATTAAAGAGAAGTTTAATTGACATAGCTTTCTCCCCAAATATTTAACCAAAACATAAAAATTTCAGTGTAAAGAAAAGAATCTAAAAAAAAAGGAATACAAAGACATAAGGTTTCTATCTAGATAATAAGTCATGACTAAAAAAATCCAGAGAAATATTAAACAGAGGGCATGGATATCAATTTAAAGCAGGCTTTCAACATATTTTAACCACTGCAGAAACCAGTTTCTACTAATTGTTTTTTAAAGTAGGACCTATGCAATTGCTAAAAACAGCAATACTATCTATTAAAAACTTATTTTATCTTCATGTATCAGAGGAGGAAGCTATTATAAGGATCTGGAAAAGCTATTAAACCATTACACACACAAAATCTTAATAGTTACTAAAATTAAAAAATAAAACCAAAAAACATTTTTTTTCACCCTAAGGTAAAGTCTTTTCTTTGTATTAAAGATCTTTATGAAGGAAGAAATGCAAATCAAGTCATTCTTAAACCCTCTTCTGCCCTCAAAGATACAGATTGTGTTTCAAGTGCTGAGCGTAATAAAAGTACTTAATGAACATCTAATAACAGTGAAAATGATACAAAACCTTTAAATGTAACTTTCAAAAAATATTCTACATGACATTTAGAATATTTCTTCCCACCTTTATTTCTATTAAAATGATCACAAAGAGCTAAATTTGTTAAGTCTAACTGGTAATATAATTTTAACATAGTTTACCATCTAAAATCATACCAATCAATAATTCTAGTCCTAACATGAGTTCCTGCAATCAGTATCTACTAAATTAATTCATTTCAATCAATGGATGTCCATTAAAAAAAATCACCTCCAAACCATAGAGTCTATGACATAACTCTAGAATAATCTCTTATCAGAAACAGTGAAGTGATAAGCCATAAAGAAATCCTAATGCTGAAAAACCTAGATGCAAAAAGGTGCTTCTTAATTATGACTGAAAATGAATAATACTTACTTTAAATATTTAGATAAGTCATCACTTAATTCTTTAGGGATATAGTCAGATATCAGACCATGGGCATAACGAATATAATCCTCTGAAAGAAATAGAATAGAGAATAAAAGAAAAAAATTAGTAATAATTATGCTCATTTTAAAATCAGATTCTGCCTCTATCTGGCCTTAAGAGACTCACTTAAGCTCCTAGCCTCTTACCTCATTTGTAAAATAAGGATGCTAATAACTACCCGTCAGAGTAGTGGGGTGATGTGATGGATGAGATAGGATGTAAGATGATATCAAATATATGATGAGATAATACAAGTACAACCCAGTAGATGCCCATTAAATGATAGTTAAAATGAAAATTCAGGGTTGTTTTCTTAGTTTAGGCTATTGAATATACATAACGTTCAAAAATCAGTTGTAACAATATAAAATATTCATGTCCTTTTAAAAGACTAATTGTTTCTAGGTCTGTTTCAATATAGAATAAATCTGATCATTAAACAATGAGTATGCTTATTTAAGAGAAATAATATGTCTGTTAAGTACTTGCTTTATAAGAATTCTGAACATTATATTTATACTCCCGAACTAAAATGTTTTAAAAAATGTAAAAAGCTAAACTCAACATTAATACTCAACATTAAACTCATCATCATAATCGTTAATACCAAAGCATCCGGATCCTCAGTACTAAAATGAGTACTCATTAAATACAGTTACATAAGACAATAAAATCTGTTTTAAAGCCCTGTTCTTTAATTCAGTATTTTATGTAGAATACTAGCAGATAATCAAACTTAATCATAAGATGGAATAATCACACAGAGATATAAACTATCAAAAGCAATATCTCAGGTTTGTTCCTGGGATATTCATTTGCTTCTTTTTTTCCTTTCCCTTCTGCCTTCAGGTAAAGATAACAATTTGTACTCAGTATTGGTTAGAAAGTGACTATTGCCTGGACCGCCTGATATCAAAGTCTTCAGTCAGAGATTTTCACTGCCAATGAACCGAAAGTTATCATTGAACTCTTCTCAAAATGTGCTCATGGTTCTGGGCTAGTAATTATCCAATGAGTCATGAATAGACAAAATGATTTTAAGAATGTCAACATATCATCTGTTTGCTTCTTCTGGCAGCATATTGAGCTAAAGATGGAAGAAAAGGAACTAACTAGCATAAAGAGTATAAAGCTTACTTTATGGCTGGGACCCTAAATGGTAGTATACCGAAACCCAGACCCTTAAATCTAGAGCCAACCAAAGTCCCTGACAGCTGGTAAACTCGGTATGGTGAGGGGGCTGTCCACCAATCAGCCATCATCTGTCTGTGCAGGGTGTTCTAGGTATATTTCTGAAAATCAAAAACTGCCTCAATTACCATCAACCTCAAACAGGCCATCCTTCCTAGTTTTTATTTTTTTAATGAATAAAGCCAGATGTTTCAGAATTGTAAACTCCAGAATGGGGAACACTAAATTGGAGTTTAAAGTCAGAATAATTTCTGTCCTACCATTTGAGAATGTTATTTGCATTATACAGCTGTTTTTATCTGTGTGTGTGTGTGTGTGTGTGTGTGTGTATACACACACACACACACGTAGTATATTACACTGGAAAAAGAAAAAGAATACCTTAAGAATCTAAAAGAATAAAAAATTGCCAAGTGAAGCAATTTTCATCTAAAATTGAAATATTGAGACCTGTGGTAAGACATATGCTTCTTGAGAGAAAGATGCAGCAGATCAGCTGACTGGGCCCTGTGCCTTAGGAACAGCACAAGAAGGTTGAGTGTGGGCTAAAGAGTCAGACCAATTCTATTAATAGCTCATATACTAGTGATATGACTTTAGACACAGCTTGAAGAATTTCATCACAAAATGAGACTTCCTGGGGTCAGACAAGATGACATGCACACACTGGCAACTTAGTAAAAGGCTTAGCACACGATATACCCTCAACAAATGAAAGCCAGAGTTGTTAAGGTTGTTATTATTATTAGCGCAAAATAAATATTTGCTGAATGTATGATTTAAGTATCAATTAGTGACAGAAGTGATCTATAGTAGAAATATTACCTAGTTCTGAAATAAAATGCACACCTGCCACAAGATCTATGAGAACACATTGGCAAGGATGTGAAGTTTCTAAGACATTAAGATTTTAAAATCATAAGATAGACATTTATACATAAACAGCCTACTCACGACAAAAATCATTTCCGATGAAACAATTTACTTACCTTCCTTGTCACTGGAAACCTGGTGACTGCAGAAAAATGCAGCAGACTGTACCCGGGCACCAACGTTTATGTTATTGGTTTTCAACGCTGCCATAGTCTGATTAACCTATGAAGTAACCAAAAGGGGAATATCAGGTTATTCTGAACTAACTCTAGAAATCCACAGCTTTCCAGATGGTCCTCAACCCATTTCAGATGCAGGAAGAATTACTTCCTCAGCAGATATCAGAAGCTGAGAGACGGCTGCACATTTGGAGGAAGGCTGAGCAGCAGCTGCAGCATTTTGGGATGACTTCAATCCCTGGACTTCGTAGGGCAACACAGTATGAGAGCACTGACTCTGAAATCAGGCTGCTTGCTTTTGCTGTGACCAGGGGCTTGCTACTTAACCTCTCTGTGAAATGCGGGTAAAAATAGGTTGTTATGAGGATTAAATGAATGAATATATGTCAGGCTCTCAGAACAAAACCTGGAGCAAAGTTTAATTGTAATGATTTTCTAAACAAAATAAATAATGTAAATTTCCCACTTCCTAGGACTTTAAATTTGACTTTGCTGTTCATGTCATTATCACTTGCTAAGAGCAAAAACTAAATGCCAAGACTCTGTCAAGCACTCATTACTCACCTAGACCAACACTGAGGCAGATGGAAAGCAAAACATGGGGCACTTTTACAGTCTTTTCACTACTATGCACAGTAGGTGCCTGATTAATTCTACAAGGTTCATTCCCATGTTCTAAGGCTCCTAATGTGCCCAGTAATGTATGACACACAAACATTTTTCACAAGGTGGAACACAGAAGATAAAAGAAGAGAATCTTAGGAATCAGTACAGTAACTACTGGAATTTGCCAACTTGCAAAAACTTTGTCAGCAATAGATTTGCTCTGGTGAGGTTCTTAATCAACGTGAAAGTACACTATATCCTTAGACCAATGGTTTTCAAAGTATTTCTTTTTTTAGCCACATCTCACAGTAAGAAATACACAAAAACCCAATACTCAAACAAATATATATGTTTCATAGAGCCAGACTTACCCTTACTCTGTTAAATTTTAATATATTCTATCCTATCCTGTCCCATCCCGCCCCTTCCCATTGCATTCCAAGAAAAGATATTGGTCATGACTTACTAAATCAATTTGAAAGCATTGCTCTAGACCTTATATGAATGAGGTCTAATTCTTAGGCACTAAGGTACAGGGTATGCCTGGAAGATAATCCCTCTTCAGCACCCAGACACAGAATGGGACACACTTCCTTTAAGATTGAAATCCAGTCTGTCTCAGCCCCACCCCCCCGCCCCCTGCCTGGCTGTGTGTGAGCAACATCAATCTCTGAGACACCTGCAGGATGCACATCAGGCCTGGTATCATCTGGCTTATAAGACTCAAAAATATACCAACAAACAGCAAGAACTTCTTTCGTTCAGTGTGAAGGATCATGGGGAAATGGAAATACAAGTCAAAGGAAAACATAGAGCTAACTCCAGAGACACGTGAGAAAGAAAGAATGAAAAGTAAACGAGTTCTTCTCATATTGGATATCTTTATACAGTTTTCCATTCTTAGCTGGAAATACAAAATAGTCTTTGGATTACAACTTAGCACATTCCTTAAAGATTTTTAAAAAGGAGCACTGAATTTTTTCTGCCATAGGCACTGGAGAGGTACTATACCTTTTTTTCCAGCCACTTTAATGTCTTCTCTTTGCTGTACTTATAGTATTTCCTTGTGCCTATTTCTGTATTAAATTAAAAGAAAAAAAAATACTGAGCACAGTGGATTAAACAAAAATAAAACTCATAAGATTATATAATATACAACATATAAAATATTTCACAGTAGTTTATATTTTTGAAAATTCAATTTACAAACCTGACAGCATATTTGAGTTATTAAAAATAAATTCCAAAACAGAATTTGAGTACCTTAGGTTTCATCCAGCCATTAAATTAGTGGGAATTTAAGACAATCATCAAATTATACAAACAAATCTGTAGAAAAGGTAATTTTTAAAACAGAAAATGAACAAGCTAAGCAAACTTCATTTTTCTGAATAATTTTAAGCTTACCTCAATGTTTTCAATGAAAGACTTTTTTTCTAAAATAAAAATGAAAATCCTCCAAAATAAAATTGAAACTAAATGCAGATGCCTGTGAACTTTCTTATCCATACCAAAAATACATCTCGTTACCTACTCAGTACTGTCCCAGTGGGATTCGTGGAGAAAGAAGAAAATCTCTCTCTTTCACTGTATTACAATATAAGCACTGCTATTTCAGGGCAATTTAGATTTATGATAGGCTCAACCTGGCCCTTTTATAGGGATAAACGTTTCACATCTTATAAATTACACTTGCTGTCCTCACAATCCACCTAGCATTATCTATGTCATCATTTCCTCGGTAACACTTCATTCACGGGTTTCTTGGTTTCTGTGCAATCAGCGGAGGCAGCGCTTCCACTTCCAGCCTCTGTCTCCACACAGAAGTTATCCTGGGACCACTAAAAACCCTAAGGCCAGGTGCGTGTGAGTCTACGGGAGTCATCCTAGGGTTCTATAGAACGATGTTTTCTCTTTCTTTCCTCTGTAATCATAGTAGGAAATGGAAACTGCTTATCCAGGGATTGTTTTCTGCAGCCCATTAAATTGCTTCAGTTCCACGAACTGGTTAATAGGGGAGAGGCTGGCAGGGTCTCTGGCCTTAGCTCCTGTGCATTTCCTCCCCATTTCAGCCTGTGGTTATCAGCATTGTGGGCAATAGGAGGCAGGAGGGAGTGGGGGGCCAGACCTTTGTACGCTCTCCTCAGGACGTGTCACTGGAATAACAAAAGAGGGATGGTTGCAAGTGGCAACCTGTCAGAAGTCTGAAGATTCTCTGGTGCAAGGTCTGCTTTCCAAGAGCCAAGTCTGCTGGGACCAACAGCTAGCTGCGGAGCCACGGCCGAGGAGGTGGGCCTGACTTCCTCGGAGATGATGTCCCACCCCACGGACATTAGGGGAATTACAAGAGCATGCAGCAATCACTTAGTAGTAAATGCACGCCGCTGAACAGATTTTAGAATTGCTGTTTATTGTCTGAAACAAATAATCTCCAAAAAACTTCAGTGCTCAGGTCTCGCCTAAGAAATCTTACCACAACTATGATACTCACTTCCTTCTTCCTCTACCTCCAAATTCCTCGGAAGAACTTCTACAATCTGCCATGGTTCCTTCCTCTCTCCCACACCCTGAGCCCCCTGCAGGCTACTCATTTCCCTCCTGAAAATGCTCTTTCAGAAGTGGAGACCACAGGTTGAGCCACACTTTCTGAGCTTCTACACATGCAGTGCATACTGTCACCTTGAGAAGTCACCTATTAAATGAGATGATCCATACAAATCCGAGAGTACAATACCTGACACATAACGAATTCTTAATATTAGTTAAGAACAAATGAGAACTGACAACCTGTTAATGACAATAGCATCAGAAACTAATGTACTTTCAGGCCTTATACACATTTTCTTACTGAATGCTCAGAATGAATTGCCAATGAATACCATTATTTGTCCCCATCTTAAAGGACTAGGTTTGAGTGAATCACAATAAACTGTCCAAAGTCAGTGAGTGAGCTAGTAAGCAGGAACATCAGGATTCCTTTTCAAGCTGACAGCAAAGCTGTGGATCTGATGTTCATTTTACCAAGATCAACTAGCTCTTCAGCCGCCTCAGTACTTCTTACCCTGGTTCCTTCTCCAAAAGTTTTATAAAACTTTTCTCTCGCTTTTTCTGTATCTCTGGTGACCTTTACTCTGATTTTTTTTCTAGTTCCACTTCTTCTTCCTCTGAAGTCAACTATACCTTTTTCCTGGAGTGACTTCATCCTGTCTCAACAACTAAACAAACCCAACCAGGAAGCTCACCTCCCTGAGCTGAGGCTGTGTGCCTAAAACCAAATTGTTCACTTTCCTCCCAAACCACTCTCTTGGGCACCCAGGCTCAAATCTCAGGGCTATTATCCACTCCTGCCTTACTTTCCACATTCCATCACTGGATTCCATGGAAGACGGGCAAGAGCCAATAGTATCTTGTAGGGGATACTGGGGGAGGGAAAAGCAAGCAAAAAAAATATCAGAAATCAGGAGGCTTAACTCCTTGTATTGAGTCAGTAATTACTTCATTTTTTTGAAAAGTCAATTTTATTTAGTAAATATTCATATTCTCAATACACACATTTTAAGTGTACAATTTGAGGAGTATGGACAAATGTGTACATACAGTCATGGAACCATTACCCCAAAAAGTTCCCTAGAGCCCTTTTGCCATCAATTCTCCCATCCCTACCCAGACCTCAGATGAGCGCTGACTGCTATCATGATAGATTTGTTTTTGCTTTATTCTATAAGTTCATAGAAATGGAATCACATGGTGAGTACTTTTCTGTGACCATCTGTTTTTGCTCAACATAATTTCTGTGAGACTCCTCCATTTTGTTGCAGCTAGCAATAGCTCCTTCCTTTGTGATACGGAGTATATATATCCTGCGTATGGACATTCCACATGTTGTTTACCCGCTCACCTACTGAAGGACATTGAGATTATTTCCAGTTTTTAGCTATTTTGAAAAAGCTGCTATGAAATCAAAAGGCTGCTCTGAACATTCTTGTATAAGTCTTTGCATGGACCTATGTTTTCATAAGTCTTGGGAAAATAGCTAGAATTACTGAGTCATAAGAAGTTGCCTGGTTACACCATTTTACGCTTCCACCATCCAGGTGGAGAGTTTCAGTTGCTCCATAGCTCACCATCAGTCTTTTTTGTTTTAGACACTCTGGGGGATATTAATGACACTTCCTTGTGGTTTTAATATACATTTCCCTAGTGACTAATGGTATTGAACATCTTTTCATGTGCCTATGGGCTATTCATATTCTTTTCTGAAGTGATTACTCAAACTATTTGCTGATATTACTGTGTTAAAAGAGATCTTTATAATAAAATACCTAGGAATAAATCTAACGAAACACATGAAAGACCTACCTATATAATGAAAACTATAAGACCTTGTTAAAAGAAATCGAAGAAGATACAAAGAAATGGAAAGATATTCTGTGTTCTTGGATTGGAAGAATCAACATAGTTAAAAATGACCACATTGCCTACAGCATTATACAGATTTAATGCAATCCCCATCAAAATCCCATCGGCATTGTCTAAAGAAATGGAACGAAGAAATCATCAGATTTATATGGAAGTACAAAAGACTCCGAATTGCCAAAGCCATCCTAAGAAAAAAGAACAAGGCTGGAGGCATCACTCTGCTTGACTTCAAATTATACTACAAAGTGACAGTAATCAAAATGACATGGTATTGGCAGAAAAACAGATACATGGACCAGTGCAACAGAATTGAGAGTCCAGAAATAAACCCATATTTATATGGGCAAACATGGATTAAGGACCTGAATATAAGACTGGAGTCAATAAAATGAATAGAAGAAAACATAGAACTAAACTCAAGGACCTTGGACTTAAAAAGGATTTTATGAATTTGACCTCAAAGGCAAGGGAAGTAAAAGCAAAAATAAATGAATGGGACTACATCAAACTAAAAAGCTTCTGCTCAGCTAAAGAAACTGTCAACGAGGTAAAGAGACAACTCCAAATGGGAAAATATATTTGCAAGCAATGCCTCTGATAAAGGCCTAATATCCAAAATATACAAAGAACTCATATAACTCAATAACAACAAAAAAGCAAGGGCAGGGAAGAGGTAGATGGGGGTGGGCAGGGAATTTAAATCATTTCTTCAATTAAAAAAAAAGAGTTCTTTACGTATTTAAAATACTTATCTTTTATCAGATATATGCTATGTAAACAATTTTTCTAATTGTGGCTTTTCTTTTTTTCTTAGTGATATCTTTCAAAAAACAGAAGCTATTAATTTTGATGAAAAATAGTTTATAATTTTTTTATAGTTAGTGGTTTTTGTGACCTAAGGTCACAAAGGTTTTCTTTTAGAAATTTAACGGGTATTTTTGCATTTAAGTTAGCAATCTATTTTGAGTTAATTTGTCTGTATGACAGTGAAGTGAGGGCCAACACTGTTTTTCATATGGAGATCCAATTTTTCCAGGTTATTTGTTGAAAAACTATCCTTTCTCTCATTGAATTATTTTGACACCATTAAAAAAGTCAATTGACTCTTTAAGTGTGGGTCGACTTCTGGATTCTCTATAATTAAATCTATAGATCAACTTGTAGAGAATGGACATCTTAACAATTTTGAATCTTCTAACTCATGAATATAGTATATTTCTCCATTTATTTAGTTCTTCTTTAATTTCTCTCAGCAATGTTTTGTAATGTTCTGTATACTGGTCTTCCACATACTGTGTTACATTTATCCCTGGAACTTACGGTTTTTGATGATATTATAAATTGTATGTTTTTATTCAATTGTCTGATTAATCACTGCTAATATACAGAAATACAAGTGACTAATGTATATTGATCTTGTATACCGAGTCCTTGTTTATTAGTTCTAGTGATTTTTCTATAGACTTTTTGAGCTTTTTAGATACATAACTATATTGTTTATGAGTAGTTTCACTATTTACTTTCCAATCTGTACACCCTTTACCTTTTTCTTGTCTTATTGAAACTGCTAGGACTTCCACTACAATGATGAATAGAAGTGGTCAGAGAGGATACCTTGTACCTAATTGTAGGGGAAAAATGTGTTCAGTCTTTTACA